GATATCCCTGAGAATTTTACTGGCAACGTCTTCGGTTGGACTAGGTGATCTTTAAAGGTCCCTTCCAACCCAAACCATTCTAAGATCTCACATAGGTTGCCCGAAACTTTCATGCTCCCTGTTAGCCTGCTTCCAGTGTCCAAACTGGCTTTGGAGGTGGGCAGCTGGAGAAGCTTTGCAGCATTTCTGTCAACCTGTAACAGGGCTCTGTTGCAGCCCTACCCCAAAAGATTCAGCAGTATGATGCTATGCTGTGCACGGTCAATGCTAGCAGGAATCAAACTCCAGCACAACAGATGATGCCAGATTAGATCAAAGATGGGCCAAAACCAAATTATCCTTGGTCGGTCTGTCTGCACTAGAATGAGAGTTTCAGGAGGAAATTCGGGAGGAATTACCAATTTTGAGTTACCTGAAGTGGAAGCATAGAACTGTGTTGGCCCTAAAGGAAATAGCAACTGGATTTCCATGCGATTACCAGCTACACTTGGAGCCAGGTAGCCGTTATCAACGATATAAATATACTATATACAAGTATTTGTTTATTATGCATGATAACACTGATTCGGGTTTCCCACAATTAGGAGAGCACTTAAGGCAGAAGACCAGGCTAGAACACGTTTAAAATAAAAGTTTCCTGAGTCCTCCTCTAAGGACATTAAAAAAACACCCAAAACTTGAGGAAGTTGGTATATTTCAGAGTTGCACTTGAGTCTTGTACAACCGGAACTGATAAGAGGGTATAACCTTTAAAATAGCATAAATTACCATAACCTTTAAAATAATTAGCTTTTCAAAGTGTCTACCTACAGCAATAGCTGCTACTACTGTTCATTTACTTATAGCTAAAAATACATGATTAAAGATGTACTAAAAAGAAAAATAAACGCTTTTTGCCATCTATGCAATTTTAAAGCTTTTTAAAACATTCAAAACCTGAAAATGAAATGCAACTAAAACTAATTTGGCCTGAATGTGAACATTTAACAAAAAAAAAAAGCTTTTTGGCTCATAAAAAAATAAAACGTGTAAGAAAGGATTAGTGAGGAGTTATTTTGTAACTAAGATTTTTGGAGTTACTCCATAGGTTTCAGATAGGACTCATTTCTATCCAGGCTGCCTTCAAGGGCATTCACTGTCCCACAATTAAACAACCTTCCCACCTGACTTCTACAATATACTTCTACAGTTCTGCCCTGTAAAGTTGCTTGGTAGAAATCAGTTGCTTATTCAACACATTTTTCCCGCTGAGACAACCGTGTGTCTTAAATATACTATTTTCAAGAAAATGTGACAAACAGCTATCAGAGAAAGCTGGTGCATTTCTTCTTCAGGATAGTCTCATGGGAGTGGTTAACTGAGGCAGAAAACTATAGGACCGCTTTCTTCTCTGTGCTTATTTAAGAATTCTAATCTGAAGAGACAGTCTAAATCCTACTGAATACAGTTCGGTTACACGTGTTCAGCAGCTGCATTAGCAAAGAGAAAAAAAAAATCCAGATTTCCCATTGTTTGCTACATTGCAGATGTAATTAAAATAGTTCGCGTAAAGAAGATGACTGGCAAATTGGAAAAGTCACAGAGACTGAAAATTTCGTCCCTATTTTTGTGAGTTACCTTACTTGGAGTCAGCTCTGAAAAAGGAAACTCGGCTCCTCCTACCTCGATTATTTTGCAAATACAATAAAAAGTAAGATTTAACTAAAAGGGTTGGAAATAAATATGAAGTGTTAGATCAGAACATCTTCACAGAAAAGACGCAAAATCTCTAGAATCCTGCAGCAAAGTACAGGGTTCAACTAATGTTTTTTTTTCTCTTCCCCTCCCCACCCCATCAAAAACAGTGGAAATTTCAGATTCTGTTCCGTCAAACCCACTGGCAAAGGAGGTGGCCAAGAGATTCTCTACGCCTGATGCTAACCCTGTGTCAACAGAACCAGCCTGGCTTGCGTTAGCCAAGAGGAAAGCAAAAGCCTGGAGTGACTGTCCACAGATCATAAAGTAAACTGTAAAATTACATCTCTATTGCTGACTATTAATTGCTTTCTTTTTATTTATTCAGCTTTTTACACATGACAAAAGTGAAAATGCATGTACTGAAGGACTGAGAACTGAACTGATTACCATTTCGCTCTAGCTCACTGTAAAGTCTACTCAAGTCATATATTCCATTGCTTTGACAAATAGCTCAGTGAGGTCACGGCAAAAATTTCAGAGCCAGACTCTCTCAAAAATTTAAGAATGTTCAGATGCTGGGTGTAAATTTTAGCAAGTATCATAAAAAGGGCCAGAACTTCAGTTCGGAAGCTCCTTAAATTCTGTGAGTATTCGGTTCTGGAATTTTAGATCTCTACACTTAAGTGGAGATCTCAGAATTTTTTTTCAACACTCCATTGTTTAAAATTAAGGCAAGATGCATGTTCCCTTCTCTTATTCCTAATTTTTTAAGTGTTAAACGGTACGAACTGTCAGTTCTACCTGCTATTTGAAAGCTTCTTCCCTAATGAAGAACTTAGGGAGATATCTTTCCGCCTGCAAGTGATAAGTAGAAAGATGGTACCATCCAGATGCTGAGGTAATTTCTTTCATCATAGGATTAATACACTGTATCTATATTCCCTCACTCCTAGGAAGAAAACAATTCATCCTACTTAACAAAAAACCACTATTTAAACAAAAGTCAGAGAGTTTTCAGAAGGAAGCCAGGGAGTCAGTGTTTACTTCTGTCATTTAAGTGCATCGCTGTTTGTGCTTGGCCATATTTAAGATGCACAGAGACAGTGACTGCAGATTGTAACTGTAAATCAATTGACTGGAACTAAAGTAAGTAAAACTATTCCTGTGCTCACGTAGCTGTAGAATTAGTAAGTTCCCACAGGAGTAAGACTTGCAGAGCTGAAGTTAACTGCGAACTGAAAGCGAAGTCAGTGAGAGTCTCAAGAGTTTTAACTCTGCGTTCTTCCTGATTTTACTCCACGTGCAACTTCAGGTAGTTCAGATAACTTCCTGTACTTTGACCAATACAGCCAGAACCCTTCAGAAAGAAGTTTTCTCACCCCATCTCAGGTATCTACTGTGGCAATTGAACACTTTTATTGCTTCTTGTAACTAAAAGAGAAATGTTCACCCCCTCCCTCTTACAAAGAAGGATAAAGTCCATAATGTAATAAAAATTTTACTATCCTCAACATCCCACAGAAATAGCTAGGTCAACATTTTAAAAAGTCACCCTAGTAAATGAATCTGTAACACACCTGAGTTTGTTTTACAAGGAAGTCTATAACAAATTTGAACATCTCCTTCTTATAACCATAAGGCTCAAAGGAACCTTTAAGCCTACAACATCATAAAGGGAGACATTTTCATGAGAAGAAATTGCATCATTATAGAATGATACCACGTATGTTTCATGGAAGTATTTTAGCCAAACTGCTGTATGCAGCATGAGAAGTAGCACTTTAAATTATGCAGAAAACAGAATGAAACCTGCCATATCCGCCCATTCCAAGAATCAAAAAGGGCTTGTCAGCAAAAGTCATTATTGAACACACTATTTCCCACCAAACAGAAAACAATGGTTCAGTATTATGGTTACAATAGCACAAACACAATGGACATGTTAGATTGAGTAGATGTGCAGCAGCAAGATGGGCTTTTTTGGGTCTCTTAAGCCATCAGTTTTGCTGTTTCATATTTAAAACGAGAATCTCTACAGTAACTTTTTACCCTTAATATATTTAAGATGTTTTATACAGAGATGGGTAATGCTGCTCTCAAATGCTTGGGGGGGGGGGGGACGACACACCAAACCAACACTTAATGCCTTCAAAGTCAAATCTCTGCAAGCTTATCTGAAGAAAGAATTGCACCCATAATTATTTTTGCTCTGCTAGCACCATGAATTAGTGCTTCTGAAGTTAAATTTACACTTTTTCTGAGTTTATAAGCCTGCAGTATGTATTTGTAGTTACAAGAACTAAACTGCCTGAAATCCATCTTTATGATCATTTCCTGGGAGAAGGAGCCAGGCAGAAATATGGAGAAGGTGAAGTAAATCGGGATTAAGGAATTAAAGATACTGGTGTTCTGAAAAGCATAGCAAAATTAGGTGCTATTGTGCATGACATAAGGATGCAATTTTCCAATACAATACATTTATAGCATATAGAATAGAGCTTTCATTAAGGATGGTCTTAATCTAAAGCTTCAAAGCAGAGGGTTTTTTTCAACCATAAAGGTATCTAGTGTAATAATGGAAACTGTATTATGTACAGTACTTGGTGGAAACATTTCTAAAGTGTGCACATTCAACAGTCACATTTCATGTTAGATTAACAAAAATTTGCACTAAATACCAATGAAGTGAAGTGTTACTTTGCTTTAGCTTTGTTGCAACCATTTCTGATAAAGTGTTGGAAATCTGTAAAAATAAAACCAAAACATTACTACTGAGTTTAAAACAGCAAAAATGTTTTAAGAACCGAACAAACCACTATGTAGTATATTGTCTCAATTTTTTGTAACTTATACACACAAAATACCATTTCTTCTGACAAGGTTATATAATATTAACCTCTATGTTCATATAGTAATGTATAAAAACTATAAGATGTATAATTGTGGGGTATTTGTTGTGTACTTTTTTAATTTTTCAAATGTTTTAAAGTGCAATTGTTTATTATACTAATGTCATTTTAATTCTTATTAAACTATAACCCAGTCAAAATCATCTAATCAATGATGTATGTATTTTGTGTCTCCTTTTGCTAACCATGTAGTTCAGGTTTGCTTTATAAATAGAACTTTTTACAGTGCTACAAGTGTCTTGCCTATGTATTTCTGCTAACGATTAAATAGAGGAACCAGATGCGATGAAGCAACATAGCCAGTGCAACTTCTACTTTACTTTTTAATTCAAGATGTTAGAATTCAAAGTAGATGGCTCACCAGAGAGAGAGAGAGATAATAGTTTCTGCCATAGTTCTTTTAGAAGACTCATCAAGAAGATGCTCTCAGTTAAGTGTACTTTTGTCACTGCAAATATTTGATTCGCATTACTAAGACCACTGGTAATTCCTTTTAAGGCATTAAAGACAACCAAAACCAATTTACACAACCCTTTATTAATAGTTCTCTGTAAAGACACTGTAGAAAGCATTCATTTAAATCTCTTAAAAAAAATGATTTGACAATGGTTGATTTGAACAGTACACACTTCATCTTGGAACTCATACTATACCTGTCACTGAAATTTAATAAATATACACATGTAAGTATATTCTCCACTTTAGAATACAAGAAGCAACTCCTACTGACTTCAACGGAGTTTAAGTATGTGCTTGGCTGAACTGAAGGCGAAGGAGGGCCTAGGCTCACAAAAGATGAATATTCAGTTTATACAAACTATAGTAAACAGGTCACTACTACCAGGTATATGCAGTGCAGGCTATGTGTTCAGAAATCAAGTTAAAAGTTAGATTCAAAAAAGGACTTGGCTTACCTTGCCACGGCATAGAAACCTCATCAGACTAGGCAAACACCAGTCTGATGCATGGAAGAACCAGGCACAGGCTAGGAACGAACCTGAGGGCACAAGCTAGGCTGGACTCAGAGAGAGGAATACATTCTTCCCTCAGGGAGACAAGCATGTTATTCCAAGCTGCGGACTGTGGCACCTTACCACAGTTTCTCCCAGTCCTGCAAGTGTTTGAAGCCGAACTACTGACTTACACAGGTCAAAGCACAACGTTCAGATCCAAACCACCTGAAACATGTTCTTTCATGAATCGGAGCTGGGAAATGAGGGAGGGACAGTGAAACTTCTGGCTGGGTGCTGAGCAGCCATCCTCCTTCAGTCAGTACAGCAAGTCAACAAACATCCCTTTACCTACTCTGGACACTGCCTGGTACAAAATGCTACCTGAGAAGTCTGCCAAGAGCACCTCTTGCCTACAGTAAAATAGGCAAAGAGGTAGAGAGCACCTGTGAGTTCTTAGTTTACAAATGTAAACAATAAAAAGGAAGCAGCCTAACATCTTAGTTGTTCTTTTTTTCCTGTTATATACAAATCTAGGCAATAAACATAATCATTTCTACAACCAACAACAAGCTTTGTTCCCCATACTACCGGGGAAGAGAAAACCTCTCCTGGAAGCTTATCTACTCCTTCTGCTATTCCACTCTTGGCATTCAGGATCCACACTTTGCCATCTGTAGATACTGCTGCCAAAAGAATTTTGTTCTTTAAGTCATCACTTTGGAAAACGAATGGTGTTCCATATACACTTGAAGTGGCTTCAAATTTCCACAGTAAATTACCTTCCATGTTACAACAGTAGATAAAGCAGTCATGGGAGCCAAAAAATATTTCTTGCGTAGTTAAACTTGAGATGCATGGCGATGAAAACACCGGTCCGTTAGTGGAAAACTGCCAAACCTACAGAAAGAACATAACCACCCATTATCAAAGGTTGTTCTCATTATCAGTTTGACAGCAACTGTAATTTTTTAATAGCCTAGTTGTTGACAGGAGAGCATTTTATTTCAAGAGCATACGAGATTTCAGTGAGGGCTGGTAATACTTGTCAAATTACAAGATAAGGTTTGCACACAGAGTAAGGGATAAAAGACTCATAAAATAGACGTGCAAGAGTTACTACCTTCTGTGAGGCCCACGTAAAGATGGCCAACTTGAGAAAAGGATATTCTTGGGCTGTTGTACCACAATTAGTAATGAACTTTGAGAATTCTGTTAACATGCCACTCTTTACCAAAAAGGCAAATATTCCTTTTGTAATATAGGTTTCCTCTGCTCATGCTAATGATGTGCAGATCCCTCCTCAAGAGAGTATCAATTCTGCAACACTGCTTCAAGCAGACAGAGAACAGGGCATGGGCTAATACATATTTTATCATCAGAAAAGGCTTAGGAATTGCCATGTATACTGCATCTCAGGCAAACAAAGAGAAACAGCGTCAGTTGTTTTAATACCAGATACAAACCACATTCGTCTCTGAGGAACTAAAAAAATGTTCTCATTTAATTCAGTGTGAAGGTTGACACATATTTTGCCAGAATTATGATTTGGCATATCTCTGCGGTGATGTCAATATTTTTTGATAAATGCATAAACACTTTTAAGAAACCTTTACTTCTAAGTCGCCACCATTTTACAGAAGAGATGGCTTTAAACATGCTTGAAAAACTCCAAAAAACCACCCCTAACCATTTCATTTGCTGGCAGTACTCTTGACCATTTACTTCGGGTGTAAGCTCTGAACTAGAAATTCTGTTACTGCATCAAGCAACTTGAGAGTTTGCGGTTTTGCCATGAACTACCCTAGGCAAACAGTTTTTCTACTTTCTCCTCTTTATAACAATAGACAGACTCTTCTATTTGGTTCACAGAAAGGTATATGTTAATCATTAAAACTCAGAAAACAGTATTAATAAAGCATCTTATTCAGGGTTTTGTGATAAACAGAAAAAACCCAACACCTCCAC